CGACAACATTGTCTGGTTTTGTACCCAAGCCTTTGAAGGTGATCGCGGCAGACTTGTCCATACTGGTTGATCACAACGCAGAGAAGGCTGCTCTCCGTCTGTTTAAATATTATGAGGTCTTAGATGTTAATGGCGATCTCTTCACGAGTCGACAGTTCTTGTCGTGGTTTAAAGCTGTAAAAAGAAGTTGCAATGGTGACGTAGAAAAGACGGCCAAATTGACCTTCGAGGGTGTTAAGAATAAACTCATTTCACGCGGCGAGAATATCCAGCTACCACTCGCGCTTGCTGGGATAGACAAGGAGTCACGGAAATTCGCTCTCTTGTATGAAAAGCTGTTGATCGACGCGTGGGTTGAGAATGTCAGCCACATCAAGGATTTGAAAGGTGTATCGGATCTACTACGAATTCATGGTGCGACAGATTCGTCGGTGATGAGATATCTGCTGAACAAGATTCAGCAAAAATTCAGCAACTCCGGCGTTAACGAAGTCATTAAATTGGCAACGAAGGAAAAGTCATTTTCTGAGGCGCTTAAACTGCGCTTGCAGAATCTCTCGCATACTGTCACGCAAGACACGCTTTTTAGTGTGCTCCTGGAATTCAATGTGCACGAAAAACTCCCACTAGAAGATTTGTTACTACATCGTAACTTTCAAGCTTGGGATAACGAGTACAGCAAGAAAGAAGTTAATTTCGGCCGTGAGATGGTGAAAGGATTGCAATTGATACACAAGCAAGATGAAGAGATTACTAGCGCTCTAGCGGGGTTAAAGGAAATGGGTGAACTAAATGCGTCCCATCTCAAGGTGATCAAAGCGCTTAAAGGTGACAACAAAAGCTCATCAATTCGAAATTGATAGGTCCTCTGCGACAAATGTTCGATCTATTAGAGTGCCGTATACAGGACACGTAGGTAGCATTTGATTGACCTTTTGGAGAGGATTTGGCGCGATGTGTGTTTTCAAGGCTTGATCGCTCATGCTCGTACGTTCTCGTCTCTGTCAATTCCAAAATTAGGCGTAAGTTTAGCAATACACGTATAGCTCAACTTCGTTAAGCTTTGTAAATTCTAGACCTATTCATAATTCTAATAACTAGATCGTAAAAGTAATGACGACGACAACGAAGTATTTAGCTCAATCCTGAGTAGTACAAGCCCGGATAAATCATACTTATCTTCGATGCGATATCGTGTATTTTCGCGAATCGCTTAAAAATTACAAGCGGCATGACGCTAATGTGATGTTATTGATACCTTTTGGTGGTTGAAAAAGCAAGATTTTGAAAATACTGCAAGAATTAGACTCGATTAGCAGCCTCGAGGACCAGAAATTGATGCGTTTGACATTTTTACAGATTCCTTAAGACTATAAGTATCTTAAAAATCAGCGTAAAATAACTGAAGTCTACTAAAAATTCAATTTTCCAATTATTTGGCGTTGACAAAAAAGCAATATGGCCAGTCATTGCTGGTATAGGAAGAGTTTGTAGAAAAGAAGGTAATAGAGAAATGATCCTGTATTGGTATGGTCCTATAGGAAGAGTTTGTTGAGGAACTCAAGCTCTTAAGTGCAATACGATGGACGATGTAACTCAGCCATCTATTAAACATGTCAAAGCGGAGGCCAAGCACTGTTAAGTAGTCCTCTTCCTGACATTAAGTCAGTATTACATCACATCACTAATGCTCGATAACTGAACGTTTGCAGCTATATCTTAATTTTGCTCATGTCCTGATCCTCTGTCGCCTTTTCAGATCCCAAAGGAGAGAAGAAGTCCTGCTGTGCTCAGTTACATGCCTGACATCGCCAATAGACTACGCACCTTATACTGTTTAACTTTTCTCCATTGCGTACAAGCGTAAGGCTTCTAATATTGGCACTGTCAGAAAAGAAGTCGGGGCAGCTGCGACATTCCTCTGATACAATTCTGTAAACCTTCTTCGCTCAATCTAGGATGTGTAGATGATGATGATGAAGGTCATGTGTGTTGTGTTACATGTAGATGAACGACGATATCCTTTCTCCTAGCTACGCTACGTTATTATGCGTTTCGACAGGGAGGGGCCGGCGTTCAGCCGCCAAAGGCGGCTCGCCGGCTGTGATTCGGAAGAAGTCCCGAGTTCTAGCTTCTCTAGAACGGTGCTACATCCAAGACAGCTGAGACCTGCAACCGAACCCTTGGAGCCAGTATTGTAGGTCTTGGTTGAGGTGTTCCGCAATGGCCTCCCAGTCTGGGTGAGAGGTGCTTGCTTCGCATTGTTGGGATCGACATAAATCTATTGCGATGTTTGCTGCGCGATCTGCCATTTTGGTGTATGCCCTTGGGTGATGGCACCAGCCGACGACCTGCAGCTCGCGAATCTCGAGCTGGCATTGAGCATAACTACGCCAGAGGGTGTGCTTTTTTGGAGGC